GTTCTGTTTGAACAACAGCCTCCTGGTCAAGGTACAGGTTCCTCATGAGCACAATCAAGGGTTCTGGAATTCCCATTCTTCTCAATGTCATCCACAATTTGTTATGATCCACACAATCAAATGGCCTTTGCATAGTCAATAAAACACAAGTAAACATCTTTCTGATATTCTTTGCCTTGAGCCAAGATCCATCAGAACAGCTGTGATATCTCTTGTTGCACATCCTCTTCTGAATCCAGCTTGCACCTTTGGAAGTTCTCTGTCAGTATGCTGCTGCAACTGTTTTTGAATTATCTTCAGTCAGATTTACTTGCATGCGATATTAATGATATTGTTCTATAATTTCCACATTCTGTGGGATCACCTTTCTTTGGAATGGGTACAAATAATGGATCTTTTCCAGTCAGTTGGCCAGGTAGCTGTCTTCCAAATCTCTTGGCATAACCAAATGAGTACCCTCCAGTGGGGCATCTGTTTGTTGAAACATCTCAATGGGTATTCTGTCAGTTCTTGGAACTTTGTTCTTCACCAATTCTTTCATTGCAGCTTCGACTTCCTCCTTCAGTACCATTGGTTCTTGATCATATGCCACCTTCTGAAATGGATGAAGATCTACCAGTTCGTTTTGGTACAGTGACTCTGCATATTCCTTCCATCGTCTTTTGGTGTTTCCTGCATCATTCATTATTTTGCCCATAGAATCTTTCCATATTGCAACTCGAAACTTAATTTTTTTCCTCAGTTCTTTCAGCTTGAGAAATGCCAAGCATGTTTTTCCGTTTTGGTTTTCTAATGCCAGGTCTTTGCACATTTCATTATAGTAATTGGCTTTGTCTGCTTGAGCTGCTCTTCAAAATCTTCTGTTCAACTCTTTTTCTTGTCATTTTTTCCATTTGCTTGCTCAAGGGCAAGTTTCAGAGTCTCTTCTCTCATCCATTTTGGTCTTCTTTTCTTGTCTTTTTAGTGACCTCTTGCTTTCTTCATGGATGATGTTCTTGATGTCATCCCACAATTCTTCTGGTTTTTGGCCATTGGTCTTCATTGCATCAAATCTATTCTTTAGATGGTCTCTAAATTCAGGAGGGTTATATTCAAGATCATATTTTGGCTCTCGTGGATTTGTTTTAATTGTCTTTAAGTTCAAGTTGAACTTGCATGTGAGCAGTTGATGGTCTATTCCACAGTCAGCTCCTGGCCTGGTTTTGGCTGAAGATATTGAGCTTTTCCTTTGCCTCTTGCCACAGATGTAGTCAGTCTGATTCCTATGTGTTCCATTTGGTGAAGTCCACATGTACAGCCATTGTTTGTGTTGTTGAAAAAAGGTATTTGCAATGAATACGTCGTTGGTCTTGCAAAATTCTACCAGGCAATTTCCAGGATTATTTCTGTCACTAAGGCCAAATTTTCCCACTACTGCTGATTGTTCTTGGTTTCCAACTTTTGCATTCCAGTCACCAGTGATAATTAACAAATCCTGATTGCATGTTCAGTCAATTTGAGACTACAGAAGTTGATAAAAATCTTCAATTTCCTCATCTTTGGCTTTGGTGGTTGGTGCATAAATTTGAGTAATAATGGTATTAACTGGTCTTCCTTGTAGGCATATAGATCCTGTCACTGACAGCATTGTACTTTAGGACATGTCTTAAAACATCCTTTGTCATGATGAATACCATGCCATTCCTCTTCAGTTTGTCATTCCCGGCATAGTACATCATATGGTTGTCTGATTCAGAATTGCCCAGACCAGTCCATTTCACCTCACTAATGCCTAGGATATCAATCTTTATGCATTCTATTTCATTTTTGAAAACTCCCCGTTTTCTTAGATTCATACTTCATACATTCCACGTTCTGATTATTAATGGCTATTTGTAGCTGTTTATCCCCCATTTGAGTCGTGCTATGTCAGCAAATGGAAGTCTCAAAAGCTTTACCTTATCCATATCAGTAAGGCTGGTTTCACGTTGATGATGGCAACTCTTTCCCAGTCATATTTTGAGAGTCTTCCTGCCTTAACTCGCTCATCTTCCTCCTCTGTATTAGGCAGTGTTCCCAGGCTGTTCGTAAAGTTGCGTAGTAATGTATCACACAGCGTTTCTCTTCTATTCATAAAGTTTTCCCTGGCCAATTCTTTGAGAAGTAGATGGCCTCTTCCTTCTTCTCAGTCTGTCTCAGTCTGCAAGCTGTGCTGAAACCTGTGCACCATGTGTACCCCTTTGGGTTTGAAACACTGGTGGCACAGCCTCAAGACACAGCAACACACCACCACAGTAGGACAAAGTGACAGACAAGTTTGTCTCCCTTAGTTGTTCAAAATCTCTCCAACCTCCCCTTTCCTGGATCCCTGCCTCTGCCTCTTCCTGTGAAATAGTAGTTGACTCTGTTTGGGTGGCTTTATTTCTGAGCTCTGTTCTCTATTGGTCTGTTAGTCTGTTCTTTCTCCATTACCACACTGTCTTGATCGTAAGTCTTGAAATAGGGGAGTATAAGTGCTTAGTTCTTCTTCTTCTTCATTACTGTGTTGGTTTTTCTGGGTCTTTTGCCTTTCCATATAAACTTTAGCATTAGCTTGCCAATAGCTATGAAGTGTCTTGCTGGGATTGTGCTTGGAAGTACATTGTGTAGATTCAGGGTGGGAAGAATTGACATCTTAACAATATCGAGTCTTCCTATCCATGAGCATGGAGTAGTAACTTATTTAAATCTCCTTTGATTTCTTTAATCAGAGTTTTTGTCGATTTCCTCATATAAATCTTGTACATCTTTTCTTAGATTCATATACCTAAGTATGTAACTTTTTTTGGAGTGCTAATGTAGGTGGTTTTGTAGTTTTAATTTCAGATTTCCATCATTTATTACTGGTATGTCGGAAAGTAATTGACTTTGTGTATTAACCTTGTATCCTGCTGACTTCCTCAGAGATAGCATCTATGCTGGAACAGTGCTCCGAACTGGTTTGAACCAATTCAGTCATGGCTGATGAAGCAAAATGAGAACAGATTTGAATTTTTAAATTTGGAATATCCAGAATGCTAACTGGAATGGGAGAAGTTATGCTTGGAGCCCTGGAATGGCAGACTCCGAAGAGGCATAATAAGTCCTTTCAGAAGCCTGATTCAGGAGATTGGATCATTGCCAGGACCGTGGAGCACAACACACACCGTTATTGAGCCGGGCTCTGCTGTTTGCATCTCCGCCAGTCAGGAAATTTGACTGCTTTGCGATGCACGTGCTGCCCTGGTTTTCTAAGAGGAAGGTTAAGTTCCTAGCCGGGCTTGGACCTGTCATTTTTCCTGCACCGATTAGTCTTCCAGTTTGCCCACATTTTACAAATTTAGGTTTGTTTCTGTGTCACTTTGTTGACCATGACTGAACTGGGCTGACTGGGTTTGAAGCCCTGTGCTGGAAGCCACAGTCTTTTTAAACTTCATATCAGGAGTGACATTTTGTCACTTTTGTATTCAGTTTGTTAGGAGTGAATCATTTAGTCCACCCCACGCTTAGGGGAGAGGATGACACAAAGGCCAGCAGGCTGGGATCATCAGAAGCTGCCTCTACCTATGACGATGGGAAATCAGATAGGATTTTGCCCAGGAGATAACACCCTTCTTCCCTTTTCATGATATTATGTCCTTTAATAGAATGATATTTGGTATCAGCCTAGCAATCGTAGGTAAACAAGATACTGAATCTTGTTATATGTAAATGGAGAATTCAAAGATAACCTGAAATTAAACTTTCTTCTTACTTTCAGATGCCACTGGGCAATTTTCTTTTTCAGTTTTAGTATAGTGTACTGAAAAAGACAGAGGTGGTCACTGAGAGAATATATAACTTTTGTTGTTAAAAATTGGAAGGATGGTGGATTCTCCTTTAGTTGTGTATGTTGTAGATTTTTATCTATCTTCATGTGAGATTTTGTATAGTCTGTTATGAATTATATATGCTCATACATGTGGGATGGTGACTGAAGAATTTCTTTACATGATCTAAAATGATCTTGTCTTTTGAAAGTACCAAATTAGTTTCCTTAGTATATCAGGTTCTCTGTCTGGCAGTGTGTGTAGCTCCTGAGTATGCATCAGGAAGGAGAGAGTGTAGCTTTGAATTCTGTCCCAGAGTGAGCTGACAGTCTTTTTTGGAGTAAAACGTTGAAATTTATAGATCTCTTATTTGGGTAGAGTCATCAGTAGAGTTAAATAAATGGAAATATATGATGTAATAAAATACTATATAACTGTTTATAAAGGGACTATGTTTGTATGGAAGGATTGTCAAAATACAACAGGTGCAGACAGAAGGGTACTAAACAACATGTCTAACATGCGGTGATGGGGGGTGTGTTCGTGTGTGTTTGGGAACAATGAGTCTACATATGCCCGAGTCATAGAATCCGTGGACAGTATTTGGAAGGCTGAGAAACTTGATGGTGGTTCCTGCTGAGGAATGAGACTAGATGGGGTTCTTGTGTAGGAGAAAGATTTACATTTCACTGCATGCCTTTAAAAACAAAGCACTGTACGTTACTTAATTTTTTTTTTTTTTTTTGCCTTTCTGTCTATTGTACATATTATTTTTATTCAAAAACTAGCTAGTTTTTGAACATTCGATTTTAAGAAATGTGCACTTTTGTCTGATAACATAACCCAAAAGAACCACTGCCATCGAGTTGATTCCAGCTCACAGCTACTCTGTAGTACAGAGTAGAACTGTCCCATAGGTTTCCAAGGCTGTAAATCTTTACGGAAGTGGATTGCCTCATCTTTTTCCTGGAGAGTGTTTGGTGGGTTCAAATCGCAGACTTCTGGTTAGCAGCCGAGTGCTTTAACCACCAGAGCTACTTCTGATAACGTAAGCCTGTGCATATTTTCCATAGCAGGTTTTGTGGCATGGCCTACAAATTGCAGTGGCCTCACTGGGAGGACCACTGGTTCCACGCTGTCAAGTCTGTTCTTTGCTGGCAGAGCCTTAGCTTTGCTCTCCTCCTTTCTTGACAGGGAGACCGACTTTTGAGGAAGGTGGGCCAGCGTCCGTGGGGAGAAAGCATGAATTTATACGCTCAGAAAGTGAAAACTGGCGTATCTTCAGAGAGGAACAAAATGGAGAAGATGAAGATGGAGGTTGGCGACTAGCTGGATCAAGACGGGATGGAGAGAGATGGCGACCTCACAGTCCTGGTAAGAATTCAAAGCACAAAGGCACTGAGCAAAGTAGAGGGCTTAGTGTTAGGAAACTGTGAGGGATTGAACAGAAAAGAGAAATTAGTTTCAAAAGAAAAAAAGAAGAGTCATACTCAGTCTTCTTGTTAAAAAATTTAAATGTAAAAAGTCCCCACCACAGCTGCTCAGTTGATTAAAATCATTTTTATTGGTTTTCTGGGGCAAGTTGTGTGTCTTGGCGAAAGTACCTGGTCTCTACTGCAAACAGTGAGAGGGGGCTTCACTTGGTTTCCTGCAGGATTTTGTCTAATTCTGAATTTTGGTTTCAATAGTCTTTAAAACTTACAAATGTATCATTATACACTTACTTAGCAATATGCCCCTCTCCATGCTGTCTTTCTTGTATAAGAGAGGATTTATTCTTTGTTTTTTTTTCCCCCTCTCCTGAAAGATGTGATTTATTATTTGAAGAATAAACTTTAAACCCAGGTCAAAAATACAATCACAAGTTTATTTTCTTGTCCCTCTAATTTTTGAAAAAGGATGAAGAATAGTAGTGATTAGTGGTTTTTAAAGTTCTTCTGTTTGACTGTTAAGAATGCTTCAAACTGTTCTTCTCTGACATTAGATATGCTAGTAATTGAAGACACTGGTGCTTTGTGTTAAAGTTCATCCCCTACCAAAGTGCTGAGTCCAGGCCTCATGATAATCAGATGCAACTGTAGTGTTGAGTTATGGGGTAGTGCGGATCTTCAGCATTCAGTGTGTGTGTATGCTGCATGGATGTCAGACGCATCGCAGGGTTCTGTCTTAGCTGTGCCAAGGAGGCTCACCTATAACAGAAAATGATAACGTAATGCCATAAAATAATGTAAACATTATTCTTAAAAACTAAGTTAGGAAAAACCCTAGGTGTCTCAATCTAAGTCACCGTTGTAACAAGCCTGCTGAGGACCTTGGGGAGCTGTAGGCCTGGAAAAGGTAACCTTCGGGCAGAGTTAGGCTTTCTTGTCAGCTCCTCAGGGCTGCCTCTGGGGGCAGTGTCTGCCATCAGTGAGCATTGTTGACATCACAGGTCTGGGCAGTCCTCATCAGTCTGTGCCCTGGGTAACCAGATGTTACAGTTTTCATTGAGGCATCCAGGCACTTTGTGCTGAGCTTGCCTGTAAGCTGAAGGGTTTGTAGACTATGTTCCCAACAAGCGTTCAGTGAAAGAATGGACAGGATCTGGGCTGCGAGAGAGGAAAAATTCCAGCTGATGAAAAACAAACAAGGTGAATGTTTTGGAAGATAAATAGTGTTCCTGAGCCCAAGTGTCTGATGTTCATTCTGTGAAAGGGGGTCACACCAAGTAGAATTTAGTTTGTCCTCTACCACTGACTCCCCCCAGCAGTTGGATTTGGCGTAGATAATTGCCCTTTTCTTATCTTCTCTCGTCTTTCTCTCTCCCCAGTAGTCGAATTTCATGTCCATTGTATTAGTTGTCAGCTTAGCAATCTTCTACGTGTTTATGTTCGTACTTTTTCCTTTTAAGACATTTGGGGGATAAAGAAATATGTGGGCTTGAAAAGCACTGTAAACACCGCGCTCTCTCTCTCTCCCTCACTCTCTCTCTCTCTATTTATATATATATATATTGTGATTTTGGTGAAAGTTTACAGAGCATGTTCACTTTCCATATAGAAGTACACACACACTTTGTCTCATGACATTGACTATAATTTACCCCAGTGCAACAGCTCCCCTCCCACTTCTTCCCAGTAGTTACCTTTTCCCTGTGTCCTTCCCTCCCATGCACTCCTGCCCCCTGAGCTGTCTCCCTGTGCATAAACAGCCCTTCTTTCTCCGTTGATTGTTCTCTCCGAGAAGTGTATCTACCTCAGGTAAATATTCAACCTATATGCCTGTCTTTTGTTTGGCTGGAAGCCACAGGTATGGGTTCAATTCCAGACCTGAAGGGCAGCTAGGAGCCATAGTCTCAGTGGTTCCACCAGGCTCTATTGGACCAGCAAACCTAGTCGTCACACACACGCTCACACACACACTTTTTTTTTTAATGATTTTGAGTTTTTGTTCTCCCTCTCTATCCAGGATCTCCTACATAGATCCTCCTCCGAGTGGTTGACAGTGGTAGCCAGGCACCATCTAGTTCTTCTGGTCTCATAGTCATATAGCTTACAGATCACATGGTGTACCAGTTGCTAGGACTAATGGTTTCCATGAATCTTTGGTTTTCTTCATTCTTTGCTCTGGACAAGGAGAGACCCATCGTTGCATCTAGATGGCTGCTTGCAAGCTTTTAAG